CGGACTCTGGCCGCGGAGGTGTTTCTACCAGCTTCGGCGACGCCTGACACGTCTGTTCAAAACTGTTGCCACAGAAGCGGACCCAAGCAGTCCAAGCATACACTTAGACTGACAGTTCAAGCTTGACACAACCATTTACGGGACAAAGCCGCTTGCAGTGCTTCTTTAAACGAGGACCCCGTTGGATTCCTCCGTAAGCGGAACACACTGCAGCAACCAACCCAAGCCACTCAAACAGAAAGCAACAATGCATCCAATGCAGTCCAGAAGTGGATGTTCCGTCACGCTGCTAGTACAAGAGTCTGTCCGGGGTTGCATCTTTCTGCAAGGAATTCTACGTCGTGTGAAGCCGGGAGTTCGATGTTGTTCTTTTCGATTGCATGGTCGCTTGCAGATGTTCGGCATTCCGTCTGGATTTCGAACCTCCCATCGGCAGGTCCACGCTGGTCCACGACTCAGACGGAGCACCACAAGTTTAAGTTGCACTTTCCAGCTGGCCTGGCGGCGGTCAACCTTGTCAGTGGAGGCGGATCGGCTGCGCAGCCGGACTCCTTCCGATGTTGCCGCCTTCGAGACATGTGTGCTTTCTCCCGCGCTTCTGACAATGTGTGGGACAATGCGGCAATGCGGCATTACAACCGGCCTTCAGCAATGGCTTGACATCTCGACGCACCGTTTTCGATGCGCCGCTAGCATGGCCTCCAGGCTGGGCGAATAACATCCCTCTGTGTTTCATCTCTGAGCTCTGACGTCTGGGTCACCGGCTTGTCTGGCTGGTGGGACTGCCGCCCGAGAGGTTTGTGACCAGGCGATTGGCATCGCTGCGAACTGCAGGCAATGCAGATGAATGTCAAAGACGGTCCCGGGCAGCAAGAAATGCTTCGCCTGCGGTTTGGCGGATTCTGCCTGCAGCACGAACTAAGACGCATTCCAGCTCGGCTTAGACGACGGAGATAGCAAGCTCGGGGCTGCGGCTCTGGCTGTGACTTGCCGTGGGCGCCGTGCTTGTGCTTGGACGCGTATCTCGCGAGTGCACCAAGAAGGAAAAAATCGTCCAAAAGCCCGAACATGCATGGGCCTCTCGGCGATATCGAATGCTTTTCAGAGACTCTTACGCCTCGGTTCCACAGACGGCAACAGACTGCACGGGGCATTCTAGAAAACACTGGCCAATGCACAGTGTCGCACCTAATGTGGACGCGGAGTCATTGCGACGTCCTGATCGGGGAAAAGGATGCCCATGCAATACCCTCAAGGTTAGAAGCCCGCTGGACTGAAAAGTTTTTGGAACCCGGGGTGGGAGCGCTCGCCTGCCAGTCCAAAAAAAAAGTAACTCCATTTCGCCCCATTCCGGAGCGACTTGCAGTGACATGCACAAAAAGCATCCCGAAAGCACCTGCCTTGGCTGGCGAGCGGCCGCTGCTTATCCGATATTCGAATGCCTTCTCACAACCGCCAGGACTCGGCTGACTGTGAGAGAAATGAAGTCAGTGCCAGGCCAACAGTAGGCCGACCGTCGCTTTGATTCCCTGCAACCAGCTTTACCACGATCGCTGAGACTACGTCGCGCAGCAGCAAGATTCAGCCATGTGAACTCTGAAGCAGAAGAGGAAGAGGTCACAGTGTCTGACAGCTAGAATAGTGGAGCCTTGCCGAATGCCCACGCGTGAGACTTGCACGCGGCTCGGAGATGCAGGTGTAGCCGTGCCTGGCGCGAATACGCCCGAAGAGGCTTGATGAGCCCCGCCTGTCTTTTTCTCAAGCCAAAACTGCCATCGCATTGCACAGTATCTGGTTTGTCGCCACAGACCTGCCCTCCATCTTGCTTCCCATTCCAGCCCCGAGTTCAGCCAACCTCTTGTGTGCAGGGACCCCAACCCGTTTGGGCCGCTGCTCTGCCCCTGTTCCACACATTTCAATTTCCTGACTGGGACAGACATATGAGCGGTGTTTTGTATTCTGTTTCAATCCTAAGGACGCAAAAACCCCCTTCCGCACAACCCTTCCGCCACTGCGTCCGCAGCCTTCCGCGCCTCGAAGCGTTGGCACATTTTTGAATCACTGTCCCTTCCGCGTGCCCTTTTGCAAGCGAACCCTTCACTTCCGCAAGAGCATAAACCCCGCAATTGACGTATCTCCCTGTCGCCACGCGCGGGCAACATTATGAAACCGCCAAGAGCTTGGTTGATAACTGGGCTCAAGAATTTCGGGATATTGTATGTCTTCTAACACGCGGCTTACGTATTTAAACGCATTTGTTGCTTCCGCGCCCTTCCGCGGAGCAACGCCTTCCGCAGCCCTTCCGCGTCCTTCCGTGCGCACAGTCCCAGGGTCCCAGAGCGATTTTCAGATCAAGTGAAAGTTTTGTGTCCAGCTGCGGTCTTCCGTCAAGAAGCGGACAAAAATAACGCTGCTCATATTGGGATTCTGTCGGCCAGCTTCCCAACGAGTTTGTGGAGCCCCCCTCCCGGCTGCGCGGCAATGCCAACATTACGTGATCGTGGCCAGTGCCAGTCCACCTCGCGACGAGATCTGGCGCGCCAAGCCTCCTGGCATCCGGATGCGTCACGCACGCACTGCGCATGAGAGTATGTGAGAGCGAGGGACGGTTCCGTCCTCTTCCGATGTTCGTACTGTGGAGGCTGGCACCTGGAACCAGGAGACCTCTGCGCTTCCTCTTCAAAGGCTGACGACCCTACGAGACGGTGCCTCGCGGGGTGCGGACCTGGTGCTGGCCAACGCCAGCCTTGGACTTCGGCCTCGCAGGGGCTGACGCAGAGTTGAACAAAGTGCAGCGATGCGCGGGTGGAATGAAGCGAAGGTCTGCTGGGCCTGGGCTGAGGCGGAGCGCCGCCCTTTACAGAGCTTGGCCTGAGCCGCAACGCCAACAAATGTCGCTGACCTTGCGAACTGAGAGCCCCTGTCTGATGACCACCGGGAGCCGCACGGCGTGCTGTCAGGTGACTTTAGACCTGCGCAGAGTTCAATCTATCGAAGTCAGGGGCTGGACTCACCACACTCTAGACCTCCAAGAGTGCTCATCTATGTCGCGGGCCTGGAGGTGTGGAGCATAGTACGCCAGAACTTTTGGAGCTTGGAGGCCTGGGCCGTCACGGCAATAGAGTCACAGAGCGGAAGCTGCTGGAAGCTGAGAAGTACTTTCGGTTGCTTGCCGTCTTTGCGATCGAGCCGAGATGGTGCCATGAAGATGTGTGGATGGTTGGAGAATGCTTTGTCGTGACGTCATCTGCACCGTTTTAAAGGCCCTGATGCCGGTGGTTAGCAATGTGGCGCACAGGTTTGGGCGCCGCACGGAGAGTCTTTGTTCTCCGCCGCATAGTCCCCATCGTACGACCTCGGAAGGCACGAAAACCACATCTACGATATCAGGAAAGACATGAAGCATCATCGCGACTGCCAGCACCACCATCACCGCCACAAGCCAAGCAAAGATTCTGCTGCCGACGGCGAAAACGACGCTGGAGGGGACACTTGCGAACCCTGCCTGGCAGCCTGAGTCGCCCGCGTTGTGGCGCTGTCCGGCTGCTCCAGTCGTGCCCGAAGTCCGCGGAAGCGGCCGCCGACCTGACCGCCGCAAGGGCCAAAAAGAGCCTGGGAATCGGGAATGCTCGAGGCCCGGTCCTCCGGGAACACCAGTTCCAGGGAGGAGTCGAGGCCTCTGCTGCACCAGTGCACAAGCTTCTGACTTACGCCGCGCACGCCAGAGCCAAGAATCGCACTGAAGGTGTCGACCACCGTCACTGGCACCACGTCCAAGGTATGAGGCAAGATCGCGTACACGTCAATCTGAGCTTAGCTTCATGCGCAGCTTTCCATGTGGTACAGTGCCAGCTCATGATTCGACACTGTGAGCTCTGAAGTCTCAAAACGCTACTTCAAATGCAAAGCATGATTTCGAGAAGCAAGGCCACAAGTCTTTTGCTTCACACAAGACACAAGACAAGTGGCCGACATTGACATGTAGGGCCGATCACTGCCCGACTTTCGTTTGCAGCAGGAGTGGAGACACGATACGTCCGCGCTGCACTAGCTTACTGGTCTGACTCTGCAGTGGAGAAAACGGGACTGCCGAGAATACCGATTTCGAGATGTCACCCACTTACCATTCTCAAATCTCGTGTTTTGCTACAGAAAAGCAACGGAGGTTGCGTCGCCCCGGAGCCGGCGACAGGCTGACAAGGACAACCGCCCAAGACGGTTTGGGATAAATTGCGACCAGCGACCCGGCATATCCACTGAGCTCAGAATCTTGCTTTTTGTCACATGACCAGTTGACGATCTGTCTTTTTGCCGAATGCATTCCCTCCTAAGGGCACTACCCGAACACTGAGCCGCGGACTTCGGGACCACGGGCGACGGTGAGAATCAGCAACCCGCTGCTGTCCATCTTTAGGACAACGCCGCCATTGCCATCGTCAGGACGGTATGTTGCGCTTCGCTTCCCTGCAACGAGAGCACAGCCGCGCCAGTCTGATGGAATGTAACTGCTGCGGTCGAGTTGGATATGTTGGTTGCATGTCTTTCTTAGAACCTGAGGTGGCCCAGATGCTTGCTGGCACCTCACAGTGAGAAAGAGAGAACGAGAGAGAGACAGAGAGAGAGAGAGAGAGAGAGAGACAGAGAGAGAGAGACAGAGAGAGAGATGGGCCTTAGACGGTAATATGCATCGTAGGGACACGACAAGCGGAAGTTGTTTGGAAAGTCGCTATGCGTTTCTGTACACAACTAGGATAAAAAGGCTTCGTTTCGGGCAACCCTGACGCTCAGGCTTTGACTCCTGAGGCCTAGGAAGTGGATACTGAACAAGATCAAACCTCTCAGCTGACTGCCAATGCCAAACATGGGAGTGGCACAGCAGGTGGATCAGAAGTAGGCCGTTTCTTGAGTGTCGCAGCTAGAAAAGACACTCGTCCGTGTGTTGATACAAGAGTAGCGGCCTATGTCACTTTGGTCCGTGTTTCGTGCTTCATGCAGTAGAATCACATTCCGCAACCCTGACCTGGGAGGTACTCACCCACGATTGCGACAAAGGCTTGGGCTTTGTCCCTCCTGACGGGATACATACCTGCAACAAGTTGTGAGGACTGCGCGCCGAAGCAACAGCCCAGACCGGGGTGGCCTTCCGAATTCTTGAGCCACAGCTCGGCCCTGCACTCCTGCAGGAGTCTGTACATATCGGGGAAGGTTCATCTTGAGACATGTGACGGAAGCAGAAGATATGCATATGCACCGTTCCCAATCGGCTGTCCGACAGCTGCGACTTGTTCTCCATGGTCTCCATGAGATCCAAAGGCTTTCGTGGATCCTGCACTTCGGAGCACGCAGTTCAAAACGCCAGCGTTTGCTGTAGAGGCCACAGTCAGCACGGAAGAGAGGACACATAGACATGATCGCATTCACGGCTCTGCAAGGCTGTGGCACAGGTTCCTTCTTGTGGCCCAAAGCAGCAGCTTCTGCAACCTGCCGACAAGACTGTCTACCTTCGCTCGAAAGATGCTACGAAAAAGCACTCCCGCGGCTGGCCTGCCACAGTCGATCCAATCGCCAAATGGCAGTTGTGTCGACGGAATGCGTCACGACAAACTGCGCGTCCATGCTGCAGAAACCTGCATCGCAATAGCACGCCAGCGGCAGCGAGAAGATTCAGTGCTCCAACAGCGCATTCCACGCGTCCAGAGCCATTGATGGGCCGCTCTTGCCGCCTGAAAGGGGGTAGCGATGCTTATGTAGCCACTCTTCGCAGCTCCTCGCAATGCGTCGACAGCAGCAAGGCCCACAGCAGGAAGCTGAGGCAACGCAGCCCCAATTCAAACTTGTGAAGAGGCACTCGTACACCAGCACAGCCCACAACGATTTCCACAAAAAAAAGTTGCTACAGTCATACGGCACTCCCACAATACCGCCGACCACGATCTTGACCCGCAATCAACGATGATCTTGATGGTGGTAACCACAACAAAACAGGACACAACATTGATGACACCATTGTTAAAGTGACCGCAACGTAGGCACCAACACAGGCAAGAACGAGGAGGGAAAGGCTGAGAGTAATTAGAAGAAGCAAATGGCCGACCAGTTGATCGAGAGCCTGAGTGACACCAACGGGCATACAACGATAGCAGGGACGGACTCCAGTCCAATCAGTCGCTGAGCACAGGTGCTTCAGTCCTGGAAGGCTGCGTGTGATCCTCTAGAATGTAGCCCGTGATCACCGGGTGATCATGGAGACCACGCAGGGCGATGCATTCGTTCTTGCCTGACGTTTCGGCTCACTCCTTTGACGTCTGCAAGCTTTGCCGGCAACCTCGTGCCCAGAACTGCACTCGCCACGGATGCGGAATTGCCCTGCGATCAGGTGTAAAGTTCCCGCTGCTTTCCTGCCCTACGGCCAGAGACCACCATACAAAGCGTCGAGCGGCATGCTGAAGTAGTCGTCGTAATTCAGATCCGGCGAATCAAAGCCTGCGGGGCCCGGGGCAACGAGTCACAAGCTGAAGCAAGAGTCAAGGATCAACAACGTCAGCCATAAACGACTGCATCCGAGCCACAGAATACAAAGAGATCGTACGAGTGCATCATAAACGGCTCCTCGTCGTTCGCCTCGTCCGCACCTCACGCAACATACTCGACACGAGATGTCGGACGACAAGTCGAGTCCAACTCGCAGCGAGGCCACATCACTTCCACAAGCCAAGTGCCGAAGCAAAGCGAGCAAGGCATGCACACGTGCGCACACACACACACACACACACACACACACACACACATCCACACCGGTCCCTGCCTTCAGGGATGGTCCTGCCCGCGAGCAGTCAGCGCCCCCCCCACTCCCCGTCCCTCCCTCCCCCCTACTTTGTACGTACTACAACTGCTCTGGGAAATCAATGGACTCGATATTGGCACTGCTGCTGCTGCTGCTGCTACAGCTACTATCAGCATATGACAAACCGGTCACAGACCTTACGCAGCGCCACGCCTTAACGTCGAGCCCACCGGCTGGATGGGCAGCGGCAAAGTCTCTCGAATGTTCCTTAAAAGAAGTTGAAGGGGCTCTGACAAAACGAGAGGCTCAAAGCCTCAGTCAGATGACACAAGTATGGAATTCGGCTCCCGGCCAGTTAACGATCAGTTCTTTGTATTTCCTGACTGCAATCTGTTTCGCCCCGTGGCCAGGAACTCCCCTGCCTGCTCAATCAGCAGTTCTTGCCTCTGGTCCTCATCCGGCTCGTACTCGAGTTCAACTTTTGCTGAAACCTTGCTTGGCCAGAATGCTGAAGAGGATGATCACACCAGTAGGCAGCGGCACGGCAGATCACATCATTGAGCTCAACGCCAAAGGTTCACCCGCGATCTCCCTCTTTGGGGCAGACTCTGGGACGGTGCTACGGCCTCCCAGTGTCGCATTATAGTTCGACAAGGAGGGTTGCAGCACATCGCTGTGGAAATGCCCTGGACCAGACTTTGCTACTCTGCCGCGGACGGCGCTCCTGTCTCATTCCGGCGGCGCAACCTTCCACTTGCCTTCGTGCCGCTTCCGGGAAGCAGCGAATTCACCCAACGCGCTTCACATCTGGGCTCTAGGCGGGATCCACGGAGTGCTTCTGACAAAACTCAGAAGCCTCCTTCAAGTCGGAACCTCGGTCGGCTCCACGCAAAACTCGCTCAAAACGCACAGCCTGGGGTCCGGGCGGCGACCCTGCGCCGGCTGCTTCCTCGAATTCCTCCGAAGACACAGTGGGCAGCACGACACACTCTCATGTCGTCAAGCTTCCTACCTATGCTATATTATACTATACTCTACTCTAGTACATTTACCATAATATACTACAAGCTGCACGTGCTTCGTGCAACATGACTCAGGGCCCAGCTGGCATGTGACCCTGTCCTGCAAGAAAACACGCATCATCTGGTGATTTCTGCAATTGCTGCAGTCATTCTGCATCTGCGAAGAAAGGACAAGTCTCTTGGAGTAAGATTTTAGCATCGCCCCGCAGAGACTTTCTGGCCACCCCGTCCACACGGTCCTTCGGATGCTTCCTCTTCCTAAAAGGGCTTTCCCGTGCGCGGGCAGGAAGAACAGGAAGAATCAAACAAGAACCCGACCCCCGAGGGGTTTCGGGGAAATACAGCCCCTGGCACTGGCCCAAGCCCTTTAACCGGTCTTGTCTTTGTTGCGTCTTTCTCTTTTCCTGTCTTTCTCAAGTTCCCGGAGGGTCGAGTGACGTCCCCCGCACTACTAGGCGAGGCCTTGTCGAGCTTTTGCAGGGATTCACCTGGTTTCTCTGGGTCGCAGAAGCATGTCAGCGCGCGTCAGCCGTCTGTGGAGTCTCCAGTGGCCCTAGTCTGACCATGTGGTCTACCCTAAACCCTAGACCCTAAACCCTAATCCTCCGGCGGTGTCTCGGTCTGTCTCTACCAGTCTGGATCCACACCACAGGTCTCCTTGCGATCTGTGCCCACAAGGACGGGTTGCGGCCGGCTGACCTGCTGAGAAAGACAAGAATCAGTGGAAGCATCTTATCCTATAGTAGACTATAATATACTACAATATACTACAATATACTATAAAAAACTATCATGAACCATAATATACTGTAATATACTGTAAAATTTTATGATATACTTTTAATATACTACAAAATAGTATAATATACTACAATATACTATATTATACTGCACTATGTACTATAATAAACTATAATAAACTATAATATACTGTAATATACTGTCATATACTGTAATATACTGCAATATACTGTCATATACTGTAATATACAATAATATTCTATAACATACTATAATATACTATGATATACTACAATATACTATATTATACTATAATATACTATAACAAACCATAACATAAGCTACATTGCCTCAAGGCCTCGCGCCTCCGGCCGCATCACAGAGCTGTGCTTTGCCTCAGCTTCTCCATTAGACACAGCAGCCATTTTCCGACCACAAGCTATTGGCCGATATAATTACAGGATTCCTTTAAAGGGATCCTTAAGGGCTGTATAAGGGATCTATACTAGAGTTCTATAACATATTGAATGTGGCGGTCTGTTGAACTCTGAGGGGTCGACCATGGGCCCAGCGCGAGTGGCGAGGCACAAACAACGACTCTTGCCGAAAGCGTTCAACAACGTTGTGTGTGCGAAGCTTGACACGGGATTCTGATCACCATGCAAGTTTGCAACCTAGCAAGATGCCAATATGACAGCTCATCCGATGCTTGAGCACATCAGGAATACAAGCAATCAGAGAGATACGCCGTCGAAGCTGACATGGGAAGAATCGACAGTGGCAACCCACCTACCCAACTTGAGCGCACGAGAACTCCCGTTGCAAACTCCGAGGTTGCATAGGCCACAGCTGCACAAGCAAAATCGCCGATCGTCCGACAGCGACCCCCATACCGAACAATGCGAAGTGCAACCATTGAAGGGGACGGTACACAGGACAACCCGATTTTGAGCAGCAACTGACTAAAACATGCCTCGAAACGTGGAGAAAACCGACTTACTTCATGTCAATTCCGTTCCAAAGCCGTTCGGAAGCGACACATCTGTACCTTTCCTCTTCTGGCTCGCACGAGCCACGATCTCGCACCAATCTGACCAGAGGATCCAGCTTTGTAGGATGGTAGGGGAATTGGCCCGGAGATGAGCTTGCTGAGAGCACATCTGAGAGGCATGGTGCTGCAGGAGGGAGGTGTACCGATACAGTATAATCATGCAACATCTGTGCTGGGATCCTTAATTCTGAGTCAAGGAAGCACTGCTATATTTGTGACTCCCAGAGTGTTAGCAAACTGGCATTTCATTGAATAATTATTTTTACACTAATGTTACGGTTTTGATATGATTTCAAGGATCCTTCCGGTTACGATTATGATACGATTCTGATATGGTTTACGATTTGGATGCGGTTTGGATACGGTTTGGATACGATTTTGATACGATTTTGATACGATTTCGTTACGATTTTGATACGATTTTGATACGATTTCAATACGATTTCGATACGTCTCAGGCCTCCCCAAGGACTGGTTTTGATGTGTTTGCTAGGTTTTCGATATGGCGTTAAGACTTGCAGCCGAGCTGCCTTCCGAGCCGTGAAATCGTAACCAGAACCGTATCAAAATCGTAAACGGGAAAACCACCTAAATCATAAGAAAACCATAAGATAATCATAAAAATAATTCCCGGCGCATACCCTTAGTTTGCTATGTGTGGTAGTCACAATGCTATATGCATGATTACTCAACGTAGTGTTGCATCGTTTTGCTCCTGTGTGATGGCACACAAAGCCATATCGAACAATGGCTACACAGCGAGCTAGGTGTGCGGGCGGTGTGCATGCGTGTCGCATCTGGTTGAAAAATGCCACGGTGTATCATATTAGGTCCTTATTATGGGCATTAAGGCCCCCTACCCCCCATACCCCTGCCCCACTTAAGGGTCCCTGTGAGTGTATTAACTGTTTCACGACGATGAGGCGGCCAACGCGTTTTTCGGCTTCCAGCGGGCACGAGTCTTTGGTGCCTGGCAATATTTTGCAATGATGTGCTACGTGACTTACATGAAGTCACAAGAGCACCAGCGACCATAGCAGATCGCGACACGCTCAGCGCATGTGACATGCGTGCATGTGGTACAAGTGGGAGAGAGCCCACTACGGTAGCAACAGCCTCAGAACACTCGGCCGAAGGCGGTGCCCTGAACTGTGCTGGATGCCCAGCTTTTCTCTCTGAGAGACCTTGGCGCTGCAGCTGTTTCTGCTTGGGCTTTGTTTCGACTTTTCGTCGCCATTTTCAAGCTTCAGCGCCGAGGCCTAGGACTACAAAGGTGCATTGGCCAAACGAACCTACACAAGTGGACCCCGGTGCGGTTTGGCGGCCACAACTCGGAATGAAGGAGCAGGATGTCTGTCACTTTGCTGCGGTACGTCAGGTGAAGAATATAAGGGTATCCACGTTTCTGCTCACTGCGGCCGGCTCAAACCGCTCAAGAGCACTTTCCTTTCTATACAAAGGAAGCAAGCGTCCTAGACGAGAGAGGTTTCGCGGCAGCAGGCGCCGCTGCCAGCTTCTCACTTAGATCGGGCTTTCGTTGGAGCCTTGCAGGAAGGCAGCGCGAAATGCATGATCTGGCTTGCCCGCTGAATGCTGAAGCCGCAGCATGGTCCCCTCTTTTTGCAACGTTTCATCGAGCGACTGTCTACACTTCCTCAAATCTCAGGTATTCATCACGACCCTGGTGGAAAAGACATGTCGTGATTCTCACCTCATGACTGCACAGGCTCTTGTCACGAATGCATGTCACCCATGCATATTTTTCACCGCAGGTGGTTGACGTAGGGCACTGGCCAAAGATCGTGTACGAATCGTGCAGCGATACTCCCTTAGAAAGGACGATTCGGGGCCATGTAGGCAAGGGAAGCATCGCATGCTATGGTGTGCCAGAGGCCTACCGTAGATGAGCAGTCTCTCTCGCGTGTTTATGGGGCTCCCAGCCGTTTCTTTCTAAACTCCAGAACATAATATGGATGTTCGCAAGGACAACGAAAGCCTTTGCTGATGCAATTCGGCAACACAAGGGCGAAGATTCGCAAAACATCGGAATCGGGAGATATTCAAAGAAACGGCCCAAATGGCCCAAATCGTTTAGGCTTGGCCTTCTTGGCCCCTTGCATGGTTTCCGGCTGTGCCTTGCCGTGGTGGTGCCAGGGGTTTACTCCGCGTAGGGTGCAAAGCTGACCCCATCACTCCTTTTGCCATTACCACTACTATTACCATTACAATTACCATTACTATGACGATTACCATTACTATGACGACTATCGTCACTATTACTATTACTATTACTGTCACTGGTACTGGTACTAGTACTAGTACTATTACCATTATATACCATTACTATTACTATGACTATACCTATTGCTATTACTATTGCTAGTGGCCCTCTCCTCGGTCACCCGTCCTGGTTGGGCAGTTGCTGCACTGTTAAAGGTTTGTAGCGATGCCCGTAAATTCCTAAACCCTAAGCCCAGACCAGCAAGCTAGACTCCAGCCACGATCTGTTATTCGACGTTGGCCTTTCGACGCTGAGGGTCATCGTACTCTATGACAATCCCCCAAAAACTGTGCGACGGTTTTAGCACGTAGGGTTTAAGGTTTAGTTTCATGCGAATAAAACTGCTCTGGTGCCGGATCAAAGCAAGCGCACTGCACCCAAAAGCAACTGCTTGTGGCACCTGACGCCCCTGAACCCTACAAAGAAGGGACCTTTAAAGGGTTCTACAAGGGATCTATAGTAGGGTTCTGCAATATAGAGTGTTCCTTATGCTAGTGACAGTATAATATAACAAAGAAGACTTGGAATCCAAACCCGATATTCCAAATTCAGACCTAGGTCGGCGAAGCCCAAATCCTAAAGGAAGATATTGCTGAGACGGACCCCGAACTAAAATGTTGGTTGGCGAACCCCAAAACCTGAAAGGAGCAGAGTTTGGCTGAAGAAACCAAAACTGAAAACCTGAAAAGAAGGAAGAGGCCGGGCAGCAAAGCATGAACAGTAGCCGCACACTATGTGAAGCACTATACTGATACTAATTGGGTTTAGGGTTTGCGTGTTTAGGGTGTTGGTCTTGGGTCAGTATATTCTGTGACAGCCGAATTTTGAGGGGCAGATCCCCAGCTTCACGAGGAGAGGGTTGGCAAACCCCTCAACCCTAGAAGAAGATATGGCAGCATTGCTCCCAAGCACCGAGCCCTAAACAGGAGACTGACAACCTAATCTTTAAACACACAAGGCATTGGTTGGCAAATCTCAATCCGCCAAGGCCACAATACCACTGCGCCTGTGCAGGGCTCTGCAGCAGGAGGCACTAGCGAAAGTAGTAGACGGAGCAGCAGCAGGAATAGAAGAAGGAGCATGATGCGGCGGAGTTTTGTTAAACTTGTTTTCCGAATCGGCGGCCAGCCATCGGATCGCGATTTTCCATGCGAAGCACTGAGTAGGATGAGAACTGGTAAAACGTCGCGCAAAGGAGAATCAAGAAACTTGTCACAGTACAAGAACTGTGCTATACACACCACACTCACAGGATCAAGGGATGAGGTGCATAACAGTGGACGTGGGCCTTGACTGGAGAACTCTGAGGACAAACTTCGAGACGTTCAAGGTCGCAAGGAAGACTGTTCGGAGAAAAAGAAACACATCGCAATGAGTTGCAGCACGTTTCATAAGCACGCAGCCGAAGAGGACTGCCCTGCAGGTGTTTCTGCATCTCTCTGATTTGACGTGCAGACATGAAAACATCGCAGGAGGCACACCACAAACCAACAACCGCCGCACTTCCCTGATCTGGACATGAAGCGCATGGACGAAATGCATGTCGTCGCATTCAGAGCTACAAACGGCGTTGCAGTCTTCAGCCACGGCCCGGTTTGGTTTGACCGGCGCTGATTAAGCGAGAATGGCATGGGTGGGAGAAGAGGTTCAGAGGGCATCGAGCTTGAGTGCTACGGCAGCAGCGCCGTTCGCCGTTGTTACTCACACGCGAGTGTGTTTCAGGACGAGCTGCCATTCAGAAGAAACGAAGGTTTACCAAAGCCAAGGTTGCCTCAACGATACAAAGTGTGTTCCCCACCAGGCGGTTCCCTCACACCCGCATCGGCATTCCGGCATGCAGCCAGTCCGCGCCGGAGGCTCCGAACGCAACTGAGATTTCAGACATCACATCATCCTCTCAGCTCCCTTGGCTCTTCGTCTTCAGCAACTGGGCTCACTGCTGCCATGACAGCTTCACCTGCCAGCTCGCCGTGGCCTGCCCGATACTGGCATGCATGTTACGGCCGGTGCCCCAATCGTCCCTGACTGACGACGAGACGACACCGCCGATGCCCGCTGCCAAATTTGCTGAAACACTTATTGAAATTATTCCTGATCGGTACAACAAGACGCATTGCTTTTCTTCGTTCCAGACTTGACCGCAGCAGCCTGGCAAGGCACCGTAGAGATGGCTGTAGGGGTTCAAGTGCTTCTTCAGGATGTGAGCCTGAGGCAGGTGTCTCGTCAGAGCACCTGTAGCATGGCTAGAGCCTAGCCGTGCTCTTGCATGCAATCTCAGCACTTGGACCAGGCAGATGTAGCGAAGGCATCCGGGACCCGGCACGGAGGTTGCCTCTGATTTCTCGTACAGGTCACCAAACGCCTTGGTGGGCAGATGTACGACCACGTCCTGACAGGATCTCGGGCTGCAGTGGAGCAGAGCAACGACAGTGATGTCCTGACAATAGCTCTGAAGAATGAAGAGGAAGTAGCCTGTCGAATCATGACAAGGCAACTCCAGCATGGCATGGAAAGTGACTTCTGGTTCCACCCTTCCTTCTATAAGAATGGCCATCACCAGAAAGGCCAGCCAGACGACCCGCTCGACTCCGCAGGCCTGCCCGAAGCGAGATGGGAGTTTCCGAAAGTAGGGGACCCCAATATAGTGACTACTCTACGTAGTAGGATCTTTGTTATAAGGATCCCAAAATAAGGTACCCCTAATTTTCGGAAACTCCCAGTCAGATGGGAATTCCATACGACTAAGAAGGAACGGCAGGAGAGGGCAGGCGGAAGTTCGAGAGCGGAAGGTGACCCTACAAAGGAGGCACGGAGTGTAGGCAAGAGCTGGATCCACCAGCATCCAACAGCGCTAAGCCCGCTACGAATGGATGGGCGGCGTTGCTTGCAAGGCTTGCGGGGATGTCATTGCAGCCAGCCTTGGGGCAAGTTACATAGAAGAAACTACACCCCTCTGCTGCAACCTTCCGGCGAATATGCAAGCAGCGTACATGCAACCGCTAAGCTCGAGACATGGATAAGGTTTTCCCAAGCAATGACACCTGAACCCGGTGTTGGGCTTGGTGCACGTCGCCGGAACCGTGGCAGCCGACCAAGCTTCGCACCTATGTCGAGCAGATACTGAACCACGAAGAAGCACCTGTCGGTTTCTGTATCTTGAAATTCGCCGACATCGCCCCATCCCCGGACGAAAACTGCAGCCGGCTTTTCTCTGTGCAGCACGCGAGACGTACAACGACTGTACGATGACATCTCACTCCTAGACTCGCAGCGTGAGAGCTGTAGCCCTGTTGGCTGCATAAAAGATCTTGTCTCTTCACAGAAGAGTCGGCGCCCCGCCCCCGATTTCGTGGTCTGCGGCTTTCCCACAACCTGTCGGAGTCGTCCTGAGACTGTGCATGCAACTCCCGACCTGGGTGCTCATCGAGGAGACTGAGCGGCGGGCCAGAGTTCATGCGTGTCCATTGCCGTTTGTAGGCTTGTTACCACGGCTGTTCTGTCGAAGCACGAGGCCGATGGAACCTGGGCCGTAGGGTCTCTCTTGTGATGCTGCTTGCTCTTAGGCCCTTAGAGAGAGGCCTTCAGCCCTTGCGACGTCGAAAGGCTGACCTTTGAAGATCAGCGTGTCTGCGTGCTCACTAGTCTGCGGAGAAAAACCAGACGATACTGCAGACCGGCAGTCCAACTAGGCATAGCACCAGCTTGGACGATGCAGCAACATCCTTCGTTTAGGGCGAGAGTGCCCGTGTTGACTGCAATGTGTGCAGCACCACGCACTTGGTAGAGCCAAGTCCTTGGAAGAATGGGCCAAGGAAATCGCATCGCAAAAGGGGACAATGGCCATGGACTGAGGATTTCGCTCGTACTCAGACTTCTGGCCGGTTTGTTCTGACCGGCCTCCGATCACGGAAACTTCGAACTCCTGGCAGATCTTAACCAGGAGCTGCCCCCCGGAAGTGGCTATTATACTATTTCTATTATACTATTTCTTTTATACTATTTCTATTATACTAATATACTCTTACTACTATTACAACTATTACTACTATTATTACTATTACTACATCCATTACTATTACAAACAGAGTCTCAGAGTCTCCTGGTCCGGATGGTCGAAACCGAAGAGGCTCACGGACTCGCCTGCTGCAAGCTTCTCGGCATTGGCGGTCAGGAAGTCCTGGCACTCCGCCCCCCCCCCGCCCCCCCGGCTCCCCGATGTCTATTACGATTATACCATTACTTTCTTTCTTCGTGAGGCTATGGGTCCGATGCGGACGCGCCCATATACTATTACTATTGTACTAATATTACCATGACTATTATTACTATTATTATTATGACTGTGATGGATGGTCAGGCCTGGAAAGAGAAGGGCTCCGGGATCTCCGTGCTCCTGTCTTGGCAAACCTCACAGGGAGGCTCCCGTCCGTTTGAGACATCTCCCGCCCTTGTTGAGCCAATGCTACCGGGGCGCAGGTCGATCTTCCTCCTTCCAGCTTTGAGGCTGCTTCGCAGCCGGCGAAGCTTCGAAAGCCTTGTAGGCCTGCGGGGAGAGTGTTTCAGAAATCTTCGAAAGCGGCGGTTTACGCCGGAGGCATGGTGCCAGAACAGAGACAGCAAGAAGCCGCCTCGATCACGGGTGGCAAGTCCTTCCCCAGATCGTTGCACCGGAAGAACTTTTCCCAACGCACCTTTTCACCTTCAAAAGAAGTTGATTCTCACGCGCAGGCCGCCAAGCGCCAAACATGGAGCTAAGGCACAGGTACTGAAGTCCTCGTAGTAGATCAGACCATCCATCTCCTGCAGCCCAACGGGAGTGTGAGTTGGGGGTGAGATGCTGGCGCATGCCTTTCTCGTCTTGTGTCGACAGCCTAGGACTAAGATCTCCGATGCTCTTGCTTGAGGCAGGTTCGAACCATCAATTCCATCCAGAGCTTGCTTCTGTGTGAGTTTCCTAATACTCTTGTGTTTGCTACCCATCACTCTCTGCATGAAGTGATCTGGTTGCCGGACATGATCTTTCCTGACAGCACCCGACTGCAGGGCTTTGCTGTCTTATCGGCGTTGAAGTTTCAGTGTGCTTGTCATCACACTTGTTTCCCCATTCGGATGCTACAGCCGCCAACCATACTTGCCTTTAGACTGAAAACCCATCCCCTTGAAAAGCTCTCGACTAAGACCCCCTATGTCTACACCAAAAAACCCTCCCTACACTCCAGAACCTTAAACCCAACTCAGAATCCCCAAATCCTGGGGGGGTTTCCGAACATTAGGGGTACCTTATTTGGGTTCCGGTTAATAAGGATCCTACCATTTAGGCTACGAAAGTAGGGTCCCCTATTTTCGGAAACCCATCCTATGCCCGGCCCTGAAGCTCAAGCTCGAAAGCCCTGGAACCCCAACACCGCTGAAGCACTGAACCATGAACGTAAACCGCCGCCGAAGCAGGGATCAATCCAACAGCCGAAGCCACAGTCCCCGGCCAAAGCCAGTCGCCCCCCCCCCCCCCTCCTATCTTCTGGGTGGCATCGGCGTGGGTTCGGGGAGTGCTTTGAGGGATTTTGACAGTGACAGGAGTGGTTCTTTCAAAACTGTGCTGAGGGACGCCATGCCCTTGAACCATCCCGGGCTTGGAGCCTTGTCTTCTCGTCGCCTTTCCACGACCAGGCCGAAGGAACCAGCCTGCAGGGGAGAAACGCGTGAACTCCGAGTTGAATGACAACGAGATTTGTGCTTGGAGCTGGCAGTTGTCAGATCTGCCAAACGCATGTGGCAGGAAGGGAGGGGGAGAGAGAGAGAGAGAGAGAGAGAGAGAGAGAGAGAGAGGGAGATGAGAGGGAGAGGGGAGAGAGACAGAGAGACAGAGAGACAGAGAGACAGAGAGACGGAGAGACAGAGAGACAGAGAGACAGAGAGACAGAACCTGTCCATGAAGATTACTGAGAAAACCCTATCTCTCACAGATGCAGCAGTATTGCACATATGGCAAGCAACGCTGGGCGAAAGCGGAAACATCCCGAGCACAGTGCCTCGGGTCTTTGCGGTGAGTGAGGAATACGGGACGGCAGGCAGAAGACCTGACCCTGATTGATCTTGACCTGCAGGAGCGATCACAGCAGCTGGAAACTCGGGGACCGTCTGCTGAGTGACGGACCAGCTTCCTCTTGCCTTTCTGCACAGTTGGCAGCTCGATGTTGCCGCGAAGCTGGAAGAAGAACTCACTCCCTTCGCACGAGCGCAATGGACTTCGTCCACAGTCGGGCTTTGCTAGGGGTCACAAGTTGAGAAGTTGCGCTGGCCCGCCTTCCTCCAAGTGAAAGTCCTTGCCTGGCATTTCAGAAAATCCATCTTCTGATTCGCACATTGTCTTTTGGCCATTCACATCAAGTGGCGGGTGTTAGGACCACCAACGAACCTCGTTGTTGGAGCAGTGGCATTGAAATCACGTGTTGCAGAAAGGCGATCACAGGAAGCACTTAGCAGAAGGCATGATGCTCAACTGGCCCCGGTGCATCAACTTGTTGCAAACAGGGGGAGAAAACTGCGCCTGCGCAATCAGCCCATCCATTGCATGAACGTCTGACTGACGGATGCAGCGTGATAAGTTAAGTGTGATGTGTCCTTGTTCTGCTCATACCAGTCCTTGGAGCATGAACCAGCCAATGGAAAGAAAAAGAAGGCAAAGCGTTCTTTGACTGCTCCGGAGGACGGCTGAGGATTGAGCATCAATATGGTGGAGCCTCAGCAGAAGAAAGAGCAGGCGCAATGCTCACCCACCGGTCCTGAAGACCCCCAGAGCTTGCCACGCGCAGATGCCAGATGGAACCACGACGCCATCTGTCCTCGCGGGTGCTCTCTGCTTCCAACTGATTTGCATCTAGCTCCTGCCAGTCCTTGCCCGCTTTGCGGGTGGCTCTGCTTGCTGTGGGGCAGCCGACATGATGACAGGACCAAGGAGCTTGAGCCCAGAAGGCCCCACAAGACCCTGAAGAAGCTGTTGGAAGTGACTCCAGACACGCGGAAGCACGGATGCAGAGGGATGCAAAAAGCCGGCAGGGGCACCATGCGAGCTGTACCGCTTGTACCGTGCGAAAGTAGACACCCCAGAGCCTCGGCGTTCCCACAGGCTATGCGCCAGACCCAGCTCAAACGATTCACCTTGCTGTGAAGCTGGCGCGAAGACTGTGAAGGTGGCACCGGCGATGCTGAAAGCTGCGAGGGCGACCTGGAACGTTGTGATGTACGCATCACAGGCTTTGAAGCCACGGATGCAAAGGGAGGCCTTCTCGCCAAGGCTACCCTCAATCTGTATATACCTAAGCAGCATGTGCATCCCACAGACTACAAGCAGCCCAGCGATTCCCCGTATTGGTGGTGGCACGAGGAGGACATCCCAGCAACGAAGGAAGGGCAGCAAAGACTGGCAAGACGGAACAGCATGCACAATCTCTCACATGCAGAAGGCGGAGAGTGCCCTGAACCCTAGACCCTAAACCCCATACCCTAAACCCTAAACCTCTTGAAGCTTTGGTCCCATCTTTCCTGCACCGACGTCTTCGGAACGAGACGAGGCTCCACACGCTCCATATGTTTCATGAGAACTTCTCCTCCTACGACATACAATGACTCGCATGTTGCACGAACTCGGCCGGTGCAGCCGAGCAGCAAGTCCTGTTCTTGGTGTAGGACCGCGTCGCAGGCCATGCTGATGAATAGTAAGCACCTTGGCTCTGGCAATGCTGAAGTCCACTGTGGCAAATGATACTCGGGCTACAGAAGGCAATCATGATGTGTGCCGCTTGTATATTTGCTTGTGCCCTGCTGCATACTCTTGTCCGAGACCTAAGGAATGCGCCGGAGCAGGTTCAAGCCTTAGCCCGAAAAACACATCCTGCGACGAGCTTGACATCGTATTCTCAAGGCTGCTCGACCAGATTCTCGGAATTTCTGGGCACCATGCTCAGGAGGAAGTAGGCCCCAAAGCTCAAGCTGCAGCCGCAGCAGCCTGACTACAAGGACACTTAGTAACTTATAACTCCTAAACCCTAAACCCCAAGCTATGTGCCCTCTCTGCAGCAGTGCGACATTGATGCGCCAGCTGCATAGCTGCACTGCCTGGCTGATTTGGGGGTTTCAGAAAACCAGGGATGGCTTCTTGGGCCTCTTTTTAAAATTGGAATGCGGCCCTTTAACTGCGCTCCCTAATCGGAGTTGAGGGTTTAACCCGCAGGTATTCAAGATCCTACTACTTGGGCTTCTATCTCAGGGTCCCCCCATTTTCTAAAACTGGATCAAATCCTTGAACATGCGCCATGACGCCCTAAACCCAAGTTTCAAAACCAACGCTGTGAGACTCTATGGCCGAATGAGCCTGAAGACGCGAAACCCTAAACGGCCCTAAACCGTGAACCAGTCGACGCGAAGCTCGCTTCTGAAGGATTTCGGGGTTCAAGCATTGCACGCTCAAACTTCTCCGGCCTCGAGTTCGTTATTGACGGATGGTCACGTACTTTGCAAGGTAGTCACGAGAGGATGGCGTAACTCTTGAGCCAAAGTCGGGCACCAAACATTGAAGCTGGCAGCCGACATCACTACATACTTGCATAGGTTGCTTCGCCACACCAGGAGCCAACTGCTGACAGAAAGCCCCAAGCCTCTTTGGAGAGGGCGCTGGCAAAGCTCCGCGCTTCAACATACCAAGACTGGCATTGCAGGAAGTCGCCCCATGCCCGGCTACTTCTGACAAGAGACAGAAAGACAGAGAGCGAGAGCGAGAGCGAGAGCGAGAGAGAGAGAGAGAGAGAGAGAGGGAAAGAGAGAGAGAGGGAAAGAGGTAAAGAGGTAAAGAGGGAAAGAGGGAGAGGGAGAGGGAGAGGGAGAGAACTTGCGATGCCATCGATAGCTCAAGCAACAAATACGCACGATCATTCGCCAAAGACTACAAGAACAACAAGCGCAACATGCGGAATCACGACAGCAGCATAAGCCGCAGGGACTGTCGGAAAACGACTACACACGGCTGGAGGAAGGAGAGGGCAAAACACGTCGCAGCTGCAAGTCTCTGAGCCTGCCTCCCGGGTAAGTCGCTCCACAAGCATTGCATCAAAGCCCAGTAGCATAGATCTGCCCAGGCGGTGGCTCTTGGGATGGAAGACTGCTGTGAAAACGGTTCAGGCTCCATGTCCACTCTTGCCTCGGAAGTGTTTTCTCCAGCCGGGTGTACCGCCGCTGCAGCTGGATGAGCTCCCAAGCAATCTGGTGACACGAACAGCATGCCGAGAATCCTACAATCCTGCTTGCAGATTGGCGACCGGTGGCTGCGTTGCGGATCTGTCCTATGCCTTTTGCAGCATTGAATCATTGACCGACGCTCGTCTTGCCTTCAATCTCGCTAGCTGAAGCTGCTGCGCATCCTTCTGCGCCTAACAACGGCAGGAGTGGCAGAGTATGCACAGCAAGCCCAGCAAGGGCGGAAACACCATCACCCTCTGCCGCAACTCTGGGACCACAGCGCGTTGCTGTCTCAGCTGCGCAGCGTGCGAGTGAAGCTTTGCCTCTGGTACAGTAGATGCTGTCTGGTCTGGGGGGCTCCAACCATGTCTCGCCCAGCCTCGCTGGCGCGTTGGAGATCTCCCCTGGCCTCGGCTTTGAGGGTTCCAAACACCCCCGATGAATCTCCTAATCTCCCAGAACCCTGCCTCTGTCAAAGCAGCAGAGTGGCTCATGCTTCGGTTCAACTCCTGTCGATTGAATTGCTGGTCCCCTCTCGAAGATCTCTGGCACTGCATGGCACTGCATACTCCGCGGTCCACGTAGCTTTTCGCTCGGCTGGCAAGGTACTCGCGACCTGTCAGCAGAATCGAAAAAAGCCAGGTCCCCGCCTTCAGCGCAGCAGGAAAGCAATGTTTGCCTTCGGGAGTTTGCTCGAAGAGCTTCAGCTTTCGACGACCCTCCTGCAGATCATGGGGAGACAAGGGGGCCTGGCGCTATGACAAAAAGAAGTAGCTGTAGTACACGTAGGTTTTCTGTAGGGCTGTCTTGGTGGATGAGCAGCCAATCATCCCAAAGGGAGACTTCGTTCGGAAGGAATCCAACCACTTCGCAGGAAGAGCCCAGAAGTTCTGCAGGAGGAGCCAGGAATTGGGGCGATTTGATCGCCTGATTTAGGATGAGCAGTGTTTCAATCACCAGGTGGGAGGTGTGGGAAGGGCCGGGGAGGCCCGGTGCCGGTCGCCGAGCTTCATAATGTAGTAAAGTCTAGTCTAGTATAGCATAGCAAAATATAAATGGAATATAAAAACATAATATAATACAATATGATATGATGTGAGATGATATAACATGGTGTAGTATGAGATGATAGTATCATATAGACACTATTATGTGCTCCGCGTTGTGTTTCTTTGCTGCACGCGAAGCCCGGCCAAGGCTTCCCAATTCTAAGGCTTTTTCGAGGTTTTAGGGGTTGATTTTGGTGGCTTTGGGAGGCTTAGGTTTGCGGGTTGATTTACTTGGAGGATCGTGGGATTTAGTCACACGGGTTATAATTAGGGTACCTCAACTTATAACTACTTATAACCCCCAAATAAGGTACTTACAACCTTACTTACTAAGTCCCATGATCCTTTAAGTAGGGTTCAGGCATCTCCCGGTTTCGACTGTGGCTCTATGCAACCCAGGACCCATCGTCTCCTCAAGGGATCTCTCCAGGAAGTCTCTGAAGACACGCTGAGTAGCTTCGCGCATCTCCCTCTCCTGGCCACTGCTTTCATGAATTCTTGAGATATCTTCCGAATCCGCGCCTTCTTCTCCAGGTGGCGAAACGCTTCGATCTGAGTGACCTATCTCGGCAACTCACAATATCTATTCCCGACTCTCTGGCACATTCAACACCTTGCCAGCGGCCAGCCGGCTTTGCCATTTCCATTCTGTCTATATCTACGTCCGAGATTGCTGGCGCGGGCCTGTGCAGCAACCAACTCGTCTGCTGTCGCCTGAGGTCAGGCAACAAGCACAAGCAAGACCCTCAGCCCTGACACCCTAGACCGGTTCAGTCGAGCTTCCCCTCTTCACCGGCACATCTGTAAAAGAAACTAAACCCTAGACCCCAAACCCTAAACCCTAAAAATCAAAATGAACTGATGCGAACCACCTGCTGGTCACCTTCGTGAACCACAGGCCGGGACTCCATGGGAACGCTGCCTGCAAGTCCGAAGACCATTAGGGCCGGGCCTCTTGGGTGCTTTTCGGGGGCTTTGGGGTTAGGATTCAGGGTCCTTCCTACGGTAGCAAGCGTGAAGAAACCCTAAACCCTAAACCCTAAACCCTAAACCCCAAACCCTAAACCCTAAGGTCCAATACTTCAGATAACCGGGACGAGGACATGCAGGAGACGCCCCGGCGCCTGATCGCTGCTTGGGCCCACGGCTTACCTGACAGATGACTCCCGGGAGATCAAAAGCATGTGGAGGAGCATGGGGGACTTAGTAACTAAGGTTCTAAGTTGATAAGTACCTTACGTGAAGTTATAAGTGCTCTAAGTAATTATAGGTAAACCCTAAACCCTAAACCCTAAACCCTAAACCCTACCCTCGTTACTAAGTCCCATGATCCTTTAAGCAGGCATTGTCTTTTCCGAAGCCTTGGAAGGCGCCATAGGCGTAAAGGTACACTCGGACAGCTCCTGCAACGGCCGCACATTTCTATCATGGCTTCGGGTTTAGGGTTTAGGGTTTGATATGATAAATTATGATCATGTGGTGTCACAAAATGCCATAAAGTCCGGGAGATGCGAATGTCACCCCAGGACATGGCAAAAGCTGCAGGCCTGGAAGGCGCGCAGCCGAGCCTGCCAGCCGCAAGGCTACAAGGCCTCTCTAGGCTGAAATACCTCATCCCACAATATCCCTTACTTAAGCTTACTTAAACTGCAGAAGCTCCCTAAACCCGTGTTCATGATCACGCCGCAACTCTAGTCACTGTAGTCTTGCCTCAGAGCGCTTCTTCTCCTGGCGCGTTGCTTCGAAGCTCTGCTGCTGGGTCATTCTGTCTGCGTACCTGACACTGCACTCCCGCTGTAGCTAGAGAGGCAATGCAGAAGACAACTTCTGACTTGCTTCAGAGCATCTTGTGATCCGTAAGTCCCGGGCCAGTTTTGAAACTCCTCATGATTGAAATGCCTCGGGCTGCAAGTATTGGCAATGCTCTTCTGCAGCTCCTCCTCCTCTTTCCGCTTCTTCTCATCCATCTTCGCTTGCCACTTCATTTTCCGCATCTCATGATCCTCGTAGAGGTTCTGGTATCGCCGCCTCTGCGAATCGGTTCGAACGACGCAAGGATTCGGCGTGGATGCACGCGGTGACTGGCTGCCGGTGCGTGCTGCGTAGGGCACCTCCCATGGGGCTTCCCCTTCCTCATCCTCCTCACCCGGGCGGCCACTCATTGCCTCTGCCGTGTTTTGGCGGCTCCTTGCCCTGGCACTTCTGGCACTAGCACTGCCTGCTTCTGCGTGCTTTGGGCTGAAGCTTCGCGATCGCTGTGAGCGTTGTGAGTGCACGGAACGGACAGATTGAGGAGACATGCATGTCTCTTCTTCTGACTTGGCAAGGCTGTACCTCGAGGCATACTGACTTTGTCCTCGTGGCGATGCTCGCTTTGGGCTTGTGTCTTTGGATGTTGGGGTTGGCGCCTGGATCACGCTGCCTCTCTCCACGCAGTGGTGACTTCTGAGCGAAGCCGTGGAGTGATGCTTGACCATCACGAGCGCACCGGCTTGCTGCGGATACCCCGATGGCTGAGGAAGCGCCGACCGCAACGTAGTGCTTGGCGCCGCCTCCCCGTTCGGAATCACTCCTGAGAAGAATCGGACAGCTGGCGGAGTGGTGCACGGGGTGACCTGTGGCGTCTGCGAATAAGTGGATTGCTGCAGACTCCCTGTGCTGTAGCACCGCTGCATCCCTGTGCTTGCCGGCAAAGCTGCTTGCGGCAGGCCTTAAACAACAAGACACGTCAAACCTCCCCATGCGCCCCATACTGCACCGACGGACCGAGATTCGAGCTTTGCACAGGGGTCGCCTGCCGGCCGTGCTGTGACAGCTGAGCGATTGGTAAGCAGCCATCATCACCGACCCCAGCCACAGAAAGCGTCACCCCAACTCCGCGTACAGATTTGGCACCTTCGCGGCCACCAGTGGCACGCTGCCCACTGCCAGCCTGGCCACGATCTGTGTCTGCCACAGCTTGTCACACACTGGGGGCTTGACAGTACCATGCGGCTGAGACGCGGCATCGTGCGGATCTGCGGCACAGGGAGGGGCAGCTGAGACCTTACCATCGATCATCCGCAGAATCTTACGCATCAACCACACTTCTTCCGCGATGGTTCCCATCCTGAAAGCTCCGTCAGGTTGCATAGATGGCTTTTCAGTGTCGTTGTTGCAGGATTTGAGTCCCTGGCGCACTCGCCACATGCTGCGCCAAGGGTGCCGCACCGAAAACCGGAGCCGGCGCTTGTCGAAGCATGGCGGGCGTCACAGGTTTATCATACAAGGCCTGAAAGATGACCTGGTTTCCTCTCAGCATGGGGCCATGGTGCTGGAGCAAGCTTGGTTGAAGTTCCGCGAGAGCTGTGAATCGGGAAATCGAGCCTGCAGGATGTAGACAAACGAATCTACAATGTAAGCTACAGTACAGCCCTTTAATCTTCAGAGCTTCGCTTCGACTCGGCTGGGACTCCGCTGCACACATTTCTGTCACTCAAGCCAGCGCTCGTTGTAGACCAACAACTCCTTCCATCAAGCGGGTCACTGATCGGACCAGGAACCTGGCACCCAGAAAGTTCTGCCTTGTACTGTGGCTGAGCCCTATCTGGAACTTCGAGCCGAGCCCGGCGCAGCTTCTGCGCGGAGGAAAGGGAAGGCTCCTTCCTCGCACGCGAAACGAAACGATGCCAGCCACGACGTACCGACCGGACTTCCTGACCTATCCCGAATGTGCGATACGAGTGAAAGGGTGGCTTCCTCCTCCAATCGCTGACACAAGGCCAGGACCTGCAGCATCAGATGCTAGTCGCTAGTCTCTGCTCGAGGGAAGGCACGCCACTTCGATTTAGAACTGATTGCCGAATGTTGCAACGGCATAAGTTGATGAATGCCTTGGCAAGCCGTCAAGCTATTGCTTTCACGCGTGAAACACAGAGGAGCCTGCCTGCGTCTGGCTACAGCTACGCAACATCACCGACAGACTCACCTCTGCCTCGATGTCGTTGCCCTGAGCAACTGTGCATTGCTTTCCGCCAGGACAAACAAAGCTGGGCGACTGACCGTGGCGGCTTTGAAACGAGCGCGGGGGCTGTGAGAGGACCTGGCACAAGCTCAGTCCAACTGTGAGTCTCGCCTGCTTCCAGTGCAGCTTGGCCGCTCAGGCAGCTTCTTCACCTCGCGTTGGAGATCTCCCAACTCCTACGAATCAGGAATGGGGAAGCAATCAAGAAGCAACTCTGCAGCAACTCCCTAAACCCGAATGTCCTCACGGCAGCATCGCAGCTCCACTTGGGCCTGACAGCAGAGCTGCTGTCAGCTCCAGCTCTGCAAGTCCACCGCACTTTGCCCTCGCCTGCGAGGCCTCGGCAGCATGGTGTTCGGCTCGCTCCTGTCGAGTTCAACCAGTCAGAGTCAGGCTTCTGGGTTCAGCTGGCTTTCCGAAGCGCGTGCGCCCACCTTCCCCAGCTTCCCCGAGCATCGCACATTATGAGTTTCATGCTGCTGGCCTCTGCTGCTGCGATCGACTCATCGCAAAGTCGGCGGCACCGGTCCTGCTGGCCACTCTGGGATTTCGGCGCTCTTCCAGCTTGCACGCTAGCCCCTTCACAACCTTGCCAGCATATGCCGTACGGCTGCCGATGGGTTGCTCAGTAGGGAACAGGAGCTAACCAGCGCGGCTCCCGCGAGGTGAATGATTATTCTCGTTCTTCTCGTTCTCTTCCCAACTTATCGTGGACTCACTCGAGACTGGCCGTGTAAACAGCTTACCACAACATGGCTGGCATGGGCTCTCGCGACCCTGTCCATCTTTCGGCTTTAAGGCATTCGGACTGCAGCTGCTCAAGTTTTTGCATCTCGTGTGCTGTCAGTTTCAATTCTCTCTGCAGTTGCTGCTGTTGCTGCTGCTGCCGCTGCAGGACCCGGCTGTCCGCTTTGGCGAGTCGACTGTCCATGTTGTTCGGCCAGCCATGTCTCAATCGTCTCCTCCCGAAGCTGCCAACCTTCCCGTTCAGCCTGACGGCATGCGAGTTCTGCCCGCTTCGCGGTGATAAATCCCAATGAACGGCATGAAAAGAGCTGCAGCTCCATCAAGGGCCTCCATCGCAACAAGGGATGCCTTCAGGTGACCTTGTCGGAGCATGGCGGTGCTTTGCCGTGGTTTGCAGCCCAGAAGTAAGGTCAGTAACTGCCGAAGACAAAGCGGTACGTGCAAGCACTTCAACTTGAAACGGGTTGGGACACTCGCGATTGAACTGCATCCTGATGTAATGCAGACGCACGCAATCCCGACAATCCCGAACATGACCTGTCGCTGCTCTCTACTCTCACTGACTCAGCCAAGAAAGGCCTGGCCCATCACAAAGCCCTGGTTCCCACTGCATCGTCACATTTCGGGGATCCCAGCCAAGCTCTTTCCGAAGCGTGGCTGCTGCGCGCTCCGCAGCAACCCGACGCCGGGTCTGGTGCTCCACCTCCAGCCGATGTGCGTTGTAAATCTATACATACGCTGACACACAAGAAGTCAAACTACTTGGCCTCGCCAGCTGAATACCTTACACCCTCTCTTGAAAGTGTTGAAATTGTACTGCTTCGTGGTTCTGGATGAATTCCAGGACCGTCCTGTCTTGGATTCCAGGAGGAAAGTTGGCCGCCCGCAGCCCACACCAAAGCAAGAAACACATGCGGTTCCGCACTGGCTTGGACACAGCAGAGCCGAGCCGCGCAAACCCGAAGTAATCTTCGCCGATCCGGACGGCCAATTCTTCATGGATCCAGGCAAAGAGGCTGTAAGTTGCTCAGGTTTGGCGGATTCTGCAACTTTAAGCCTCAAAGATTTGAAAGAGGCTGCCGCTACCGCCGCTACTCCCATCCTGCCTGCCGCCTGCATTCCTGCATATTATGGAAACTTAAACCTGAAACCCTAAACCCTATAGATCCCTTAAAGGAATCCTTACAGATCCCTATTATGGTAAACTTAACTTAAAGTAGAAAGGAGGACTTTCTTCGGGTTTTTGTGAGAGGATCTCGGCTCGGGGCTCGGCTCTTGGCTCTGGAGAGCCGCAGAGATCTGCGGCTTTTGAGTAGGGAATGGAAGGATGGTAGTAATAGTAGTTATGATTGTACCCCCATTCCAGAATTCCCTATTAACCCAAGGTAAGCTTATCACACCCCGAGGCGCCCCCAAGCGCTCGCCCCTGTTCCTCAATCTGGTTCTGCCTACTCCTACCCGGCCCTGCCCGACAGCCTCCTGGCGCGCATCATCAAAGGATGCCTCCAAAGCAGCACCTCGGAGCACGGAAGACATGTCTGCGTCACTATCAAGCTCATCCTGCCAAACGGGGTGTCTGAAGCACGCTCTTGCCTGGGGCCTGGAGGATGCCGAGAGTTGTGAAGAATCCGATGCACAGAACCCTTTCATGCTCACACCATGCCACAACCATTTTGCGATGTGTACAAGCGTTTGTGCCGTTCACTCACGACCGATAAACGGTTGCAGTGCATTCGTTAACAGTTGTGCCACTCGGCGCGGCCTTTCCGGACGACACCTTAAATGGAGCGGCAGCACCAATCGGCCATGCCCATGCCCTGCCTTTGGCAGTGACTTGCAAGCACGGTTCCCTTCGTGTAGGGAAGCCCAGCCAAGTGGTCAAACCTTGAGGCCACAGCCTCTGTATTAAAAGGTTGATGGCACTTTAGCCGGGCAAGATCTACCCAGGAAATATTCCGACTTGGCTCACAAGTGCTGCTGGATCCAGGAGCCCACCAGCTTCAACTGAGCGAAGGAAGTAGGAGATGAGATCCGGTGCTCTTGACTGGCCTACTTATCCACTCAAACATCATGCAGTCATGCACGGCAACAGATTCAGCCGATCCATCGATAGACTGCGAGCGGTTTACCTGAGCTTCGCACATACTCTTCCTGGATGACGAAAGTCAGAACATGAAGCCCACCTGCAGACGTCGAAAGATGTCAGTTACACCTCCGACTTCTGCCGCTCCGCTGTGCCTGCGTCGACTCGATGCATGACCTTGTCCTTGCAAGCACTCAACTTCATCAGCTTCTCGGAGCCCTCGACCATGCAGATGCTGTCCTCCGTACGCATACAACAGGACGAGGGCCTTTCTGATCGCTACGCATAACTACAGATGTCCAATGAATACTAAGATCCACCCCCTGTGTCAAGAAGGAAGCGAAGAGCCATCCTTGGGGTCGTGGATGATTTGGAAGGGAAAGCGCACTTCCTTCATCTCCTCTCAAAACAAAGAAGCACCACATGCTGCACTTGGGAGCGACGACCAACTACTGCGAGCTCCTCGTCAATGGCGGAGAAGATCGTCGAGTATGCCGATGCAGTGCCCCAACGCATCTTGAAGAACCAGCCAAGGCCTCCAACAGTTGGCGACGACGCTGTCAAGAGTTGGTCGGTGGGCCATGCAAAGGATCCTCTCCTTTCTTTGGAAAACGATGAGCACAATCCACAACCTCCATCTCAGCCATGTACTTCTGCTTGGGGTCGCCTTGGCAAGCACGTATGACTCTCTGCCCATATCCAGCCTCTCGACCAAGGCAGGTGCGTGAATTTAAGTGAATACAGGTTCGGGCACTGCACCACGACACTTGACTGACGTAGGCAATGCCATAACTGGCTGGCAACATGGCAACAGACGAGGCTATGGCTGAGATCGAAATTCGCGCCCAGGTGGACCTTGCTGCTGGAACTCACAGCCTCAGCCACATCGCGACATACAGGCCTCAAGTTTACGCAGGATTCGCTTTGATATTTCAATTTAGCACATCAATACACTCCATCGCATGATACGTCTTCCTCTACCTGCGCCTCATGGATGCGCCACTTTTGCCTGTGTCTATCCTGGTTCGCTTTAGCTGCTGAGACGTGGTCTTCTGGCATTGGTTGCCGGGAGCAGCAGGGCACTACCTCAGATTGTCGAAACGACAGTTCATGCCGTGTCCACAACTCGACCCTCAGTGAGATCCCTGTAAAAATGTGTGCGTGTGTGTGTGTGTGTGTGTGCATTTGTATATATAGAGAAACATATCAGAAGTGTGTGTGTGTGTGTATATATATATATATACATACACACACCGAAATATTATATAATGAGTATATATATAATGTGATATATATATATATATATATATGCATGTGTATAATGATATATATATATATATAATATATATATATATATGAATCTAAGCTTGGAGCGCACCACTTCAAAAAGCTGATCACGGCCTCGTCAAAGGCTCGTGATGATGCCATGGGGGGAGGCTGGAGGATACGGAGACTCAACTTGGGGTCTGGGACTTCGGACAAATCTATGTGGGAGTTTCCGAAAAAGAGGGGTACCTATTTTCGGAAACTCCCATGTGAAGGATCAGCATACAGCTTGGGACGATGGGCAGAGCCCCCAGCAAGAGCAGGATTTTGCTTGAAAGAGCGCCTTTTCATTGCACGATCCCGAGCACTTTTTGTGCTCCCCGAATGAGCGACAAAGAGTGAGACATTTGACTTTTGAACAGGGCGTAGCACGATGACGCACACCCCAGCAATGTCGCCCATGGCGTGACAATGCATCGAGTGGCTTGCATACATACAGCACTAGTGGCACGCGCCTCAGTCATCCGCTCCAACCTGACAGTGCGATCAAGCATGGCACAACCTTCTGGCCACAGAAACAGAAGTGTCACCTCGGTGGCACCGACCAAGCTAGTAACATGACATTGCAGATGAGGCCGAAGCTCGCAACCTTCCTGCGAAGTGGGCACAAAGTCCACAAATGCCAGCCACGACCATGTACCTCGCCGTCACTCAGCTAGCTGACCTGCCAGTCTTTCAGCTAACCTTGTGATCCCGGGTACACGAATGGGAAGAGGATGCCAAGCGTAGGGCTGCCCGACCCGAACCTGGAAGAAGGAACGTCAAGCCTCTGACGCAAAGCGCAAGCAGAACCTCAGTGCCGAGCATTGCCGTGGACCACACCAGCAGGAAGAAGATCGAAGTGCCGGAGAAACACACGAGTGTCGGCAGCACCACTCCCTTCGACAGGGTCCATAGACTCAGACGGACAGCTCAGCAGGAGCCGGCCTTCGTGTCTTCCCAAACTGCCATTCCTTCGTGGTTTCACCGACTGGTTCTTCTTGTGCGCTGCCTCCTGGTTCCAGGAAATCTGTGAGATTAACAAACCTCCGAGCAGCCGGCCTGTTCAGACTGCACCTCTTTGTGCCTCTATGCGAGGGTTTCCGAACATACGAGACCATAAAAAAGTACCCTAAATTTAGTAGGATCCGCATTATAAGGACCCCCAAAATAAGGTACCCCCGAATGGTCGGAAACTTCCATTTCATCTCCGGGGGCGTGAGAGCTGGAAGAATGGCTTGGGTTTGATGGGAGAATGGAGGTATGGGAGGTTTAGGGTTTATAGGGTTTCGGGTTTCGGGTTCAGGGGTTTAGGGTTTAGGGGGTTTAGGGTTTAGGGGGGAACCTTGGTATGAAAGCCATCACACCCGGGTGCATCTACGCACTCAGACTTGTGGATTCTGGGCTTAGTTCATGGTTGACCATATTATACTGCATGAGGAGCTCAGGCATTAAAACGCATTAAAACCGCTGATCTTCAGACTGTCAGGCGCATTGACATTGGATGCCACTAACATGCTGTTCTTGCGATCGATCAGGCTGGCGCTACGATGATCATCAGTATACGGTATACTAAGCCATGATAACGAATATGAAGAACCGTAGCGACATGAGAAGCAGAAGCAGCTGCAGTGTTCATATCACGAGAATTACCGGCATCATACATTCTGCGCACATGCATCACGCACAGGAAGAAGTCTACCAAAAGACACCGGCGGAGGAAGAAGAACACAATGTGACAGCACATGTATCTCCGGCTTACGACATTCCGACCCCTAACCAGGACCTCTTGCAATGTCTGGTGGATTACAGTTGCCTTGGCCAATCTTGGCCACTGAACAAGCATGCAGATATAGGCAAAGGGTCCTGGAATCGGGCAGCTTCACAGAGGATGCAGCCATGCTTCTACCCTGTTTTGACGAGGAGGTGCGGACATAAGCCTTGCTGAAATCTGAGCCTTCCGGCCCTTGACGCTGATACACAGCTTTGCATGGCCTACTTAGGCATACTCTGCTCCATGCATGCCGTCATCTTGAACAGCACGGCCACCGCGGCTGCGGCATAGTGCATGTCCGCATTGCTCTCAAGGACACTCCGAGCTTCCGAAGCGCGGCGAAAGGCTGTGGCGCGCCTGCGGCGGGAGAGGCACCTGAAGAGCTGGAGCCGCAAGGAGAGCGCCTGCAGAGACTCGAAGCGAAGCGGAGGCGAAACGGAGGCGAAGCGGCCCTTGAGAGGCAAAGACAAAAGGCAGAGGCTTGTTCTTGCTTCGAAGAGGCCTCGGAAGATGCCCTCGAGCTTTTGGCTTCTCTGCAAACGCAGGCCAACTCCGAGACATATCCTTGGTGCACTCGACTTGTCGTCACTTACATGCTTGGCTTGAGCATCTTCCATGAAAGAGATGCCCTGCTTTGCCTGTCGGGCAGGGGATAGTTCCGCCAAACGACAGTGGGCAGAGATGCAAAAGCAGCAATCATAAGAACTTCCTGCAGAATTGGCACGCGCTCGGACCTAACCTAGTCGACGCCTGTCCCTGTGGACACTGTGACACAGAGGTTTGATCGGGCCAAGTTTCATTCCCCCCAAGCTCTGGCCGTGGAGGAATAAAGGCAGCTGGCGAACACGATTCAGGACCTTTCCACCATCAAACGATAGAAACTCTTGCGCATCTCTCTGAACCTGGCTGCCATCAATTTGTGGTGCTATTTCGTCCTGCCTCTGGGCAGACTCCAGAGTGGAAGTCCTGAGATCATTACGGCCGAACTTGATTGTACGAGTACGAGGGTCGTCAAAAATCGTAGAGGACTCGAAACCAGAACACTTGCTTCCATGCGAGAATGCACACATTCACATGCCTCCGGACGGGCAGGCGAAGCGCTAACGCCGTAAAGCTCCTCTGAAGAATGGGTCACGGTCCGCGGCGGTGACAGGTGGCATCACTCGATGAGGTTGACAGCGGAAGGCCTCTGCAAAGGATGCCATGTCCTCGAACACGTCCTCCCAGTCCTGCTCGGCCCAGGATTCAAAGGTGCATACGGGATAGGTGATAAAGGTCTAGTTGCAGCGAGCATCACCTCGGTGTAATTCTAATTTCGAGTCCATTCACCCGTCTCAAGAAACATCACCACGAAA